TCCTGGAGAGACAGCCCGATGGATGGACCCAGAGCAGGGCTAGTGCTAGAGGAAACCAATGGATGGACCAGGAGCAGGGCTAGTGCTGGGGGAAACCAATGGATGGACCAGGAGCAGGGCTAGTGCTGGGGAGACAGCCGGATGGATGAATGGAAGGGTAGGGGGCAGGGCTGGGAGAGGTGGATGGAGAAATGAGGGTTAGAGTTGGAGGACACTGACCGCCACAGCATTAGGACCAGGAGAGAGGAAGGCCTAGGGCTGGGAGAGGTGGACAAATGGATGGGCGGGGAGGGCTAGCACTGTGTTAGCCCTAGACGGGGTTCCTGCCTCTTGGGGACATAGGATCAGGGTGCTCACAGGGTGAGGGGGCCAGTGCACCCTTACAGTACTCTCAGAGCAGGCCTGGGATTCAGTGCCTCCTCCAGGGGATAGAGGTGAAGAGGGGTCCTGGGCAGTGGGGACTTCTTGGGTCCATGGGGTTTAGGATGAGGAGATGCCATCTGGACACCATGAGAAATAGCTCCTCTCCCCATCCCTCCCTCCCTGACTTTTCAGCAGCTCCACAATAAAACTCTCTATTCCCCAATCATCTCCGCACACAACCCCTACACATTTCCCTATGAAACCCAACAATCCCCTCATATAGCTCCCCCAAAATCACCTGAGCTGACACCATAATGCCCCCAATAATCCCCCTCCCACAGTTCCCCCGATAAACTTTCAGCCCCCAGAGTTGCTCCATCACCTCCTGATACTCAAACTCTGAGAGCTTACATGGGCCTTGCAGCCTGGGCAACAAGGGACATGGGACAGGTAAGAATAGCCTCCAAAGCTAGGTGTTGTGTTCAGAGTCCTGGGAGGCCGTGGGGCCCAGCTCGGGGGCTTAATGAGGTGTGTGCAGGGATTGGGGCCCGAGGAGCCCGTGGGGCCCAGCTCAGGGAGCTAGTGAGGCCTGTGCAGGATTGGGGTCCCAGGAGGCCGTGGGGCCTGGCTTAGGGACCTAGTGAGGCCTGTCCAGGGATTGGGGCCCGAGGAGGCCGTGGGGCCAAACTCAGGGGCGTAGTGAGGCCTGTGCAGGGATT